TAGTGTGCAAATATTTTGTTATGCAAAGTTATGAAAGTACTGCAAATCCTCGAAGGACTAAAATTAAATTAATAGTATCATGGAGTCAAAAAACTTAAGGGGGAGAAAATTCAGAAACACACGTAAAATTCCAGTTCAGCAGAAGAAGGATTGAAACACACCAGCGTTGTGTGCTAATTTAGTTTCTGATCAATTAAAGATCATTATTAGTCAACATTTAGATATAAAGACTGTTGGTATGAATCTTATACTCAGAATGGACGGCAGAACGGTAACATTTGTCGATCTTGATCTTGAAACACTTTTCCGAACTCTGCAAGATATTTTTTTGACTTAAATGTTAATAAATCCTTGATGAAAGACATTCTGATCTTCAACAGTTTGATTTTTTGTCAACAACAAAACTAGGGACATACTTGACGAGAATTTGAACATATAACAAACACAAGTTTTCGTTACCCCTAGACTTTAGAGGCTGGAAAAAGTGGGAGAAGTTTGATGACACCGAGAAGGTAACTCCGAGTCCAGAGAGTTAAGAAATAAAAACACCTACAAGAGCAAGGGCAGATACCTTAATATGAAGAGTGCCGTGATCGGTCTCCAGTGCAATGATTCCCTTGGAAATAAAATGTTAAAGATCCATCAATAGACAAGATAAGCTGAAGATAATAGAAAAAAGACATAACTCCTTAATAACAAAATACTTTGCAAGAAAGCCCATGAAACATCAAAAAGGTGGAGTTAGTGATAACAAAAAAGGCTATAAAATTTGGGATAAAACCTTTAAAATAGAACAAACAATTCCGAAAAACAATCATGAAATTTATGGATGAGAAATTTTATACCTCTCCTCTTCCAAAGATAAGCCCAGAAGTCCAACTACTTGCTATATTTCCTTCCTGACGATCAGGAGCCAGTGTGTCCTTCTGTTTCTTCAGCCAACACTGTCAATAAAGATAAATTTTATATTGAATTCAACTGCCTCAGCCTCGGCTACCTAAACAGAGCATAAAATTCACATTCAACTCCATGTGATACAGATCATAAAAACTACAGAATTTGTTCCCATAATGACCAGAACCTCCCTCTCTCTTTAATTGGGCTGGAGGGAGAAGGGAGGATTTGCCTTTCAACTTCTAAGATGAAGATCTTATAGATCCCGTTTGATAATATTTTTGTTTTTAACATTTTTGCGTCTATACTTGTTTCCTCGCAATTTCTTTGTATGAGTTGTCAACTTTCTTAGAAACACATTCGACTTCTTTGGTATGAATTTTCACATTTCTTAAAAACACATTCGACTTCTTACTCAAATTTAAGAAACTACACTGTTTTAGTTTTCAAAATTTTGGCTAAGATTTCGAAACTGGTTTTAAAAAAGAAAATAAGATGGTGTTTAAAAGGGTTCATAGTAACAAACAAAAGGCTATTTATCAGATAAAAAACCATTAGAAAAGTATCTAAACGAACTAAATGCATATACATTGGAAAGTAAATCGAAAAAAAGAGGCAGATTAAGGCAATGTTAGAAGAACTAGACAAGAAATCATTATCATCAAACCGGCCTACAGAATTTTGTCCCATAATGAACCTCTCTCTCTAATTGGGCTGGAGGGATAACAGAATAATTGCCTCTCTACTTCTAAGATGAAGATCTTTTTATAACACAAATGGGGTATTTCTCAGATAAAAAAACCAGTAGAAATGGATCTAATCAAACAAAATACTTACAAGAATTCAAGAATTCAAGTAAACAGAGAAAAAAGAACCAGATTAAGGCAATGATTAGAAGAACTAAACAATAATTCAACTCACTTCACCAAATTTTGAACCACATTGCTCTCGATTTCCGCAGTAGACCCAAGTATCACACAGGCAAGGCCCATCATTCCCACTGCACATAGCTTTACAAGCCTTACAACACAGCTCGGAGGAATTAAACTTAAATTCAGAACCCCACTTCACGGCCGGCCCCCAGAGCTCCAAATTCTCGACTCCTCTGCAGCATTCCACTCCCCCTCCTTCCAAATTTCCGCCATCGCCATCTCCAATCGCCGCGAAGGATTCGAATTCCGAAGCATTGCCGCCGGTGGGTCTGAGGAGCAGAGGGAGCAGCGTGTATACGGCGGCGCAGAAGATGAAACTGAGCAGAATTAGGATCGGAAGAGCGAGGCGGGAGGATTCCTGGTCAATTGGCTTCCGACCCATCTGAGAAATGGCGATGAAGAGGCCGACCCAGATGCAAATTCCGGTCGCTGGGATCGGCGACGGCGAGAAGGGCGTTGACTGTGGAAATTTGGGAGGTTTCTGATTGGAATTCGAACATTACATGGTAGAATTTTTCGATTTTCTTGTGCGGGAGTGATGGAAATCAAGGCGAAGCGTGATGATGGAAGAGATCGTAGTCAACGACTTCCATAGAGTGTAGACGAACAAACGGCGCCGTTTTGGGATGGAGAATGAATTTCTTCACCTTTGGAACTATTTTTAAATGGTTAAAATAGACTTCTCAAAAAGAAAAAAGAAAAAAGAAAAAAACTAGTTAAAATAGTTATGTTTTGCTTTCTTATATTACTCTGGAAAAAAAAAATAGGCATATTTTCTTTAATGCGAAAATAGACAATTGAACTTTCGACCACTGGGGAGGGTATTTTAAGAAAATGTAACCATGTTTGAATAAAATTTTGATTATTGAATGATATTTTAACCATTAACTATAGGACTATATTTATGTTGGTGAAAAAAAAAATTATATTATTTAGCATATTATTGAATCTTTAAAGTTTTATTTATTTGGTATTTTTTCAACCTTTCAAGGTTTTTTTTTTATTTTAAGAGTGATAGTTTAAACTTCCAACATTTTGGATTAAGGATATATGTCCATTTTTAATTTTTAATTGTATTGTTTAGTTTAATAATTTTAGGGATAGCATATCTAATCATCGATTATAGATCAAAGGGTAATAAGTAGGGATGTACATGGTTCGATTCAGTCTTGTTTTGGCCGAAACCATTGATCGAATCGAAACCCTAGATTTTGAAAACTTCAAAATTTAGAAGCCTTGATTCTACTTCTGATCAGTTTGATCTCGATTTTTAATCCATTTTGGATTTTTTTTTATATTGAACCACTATTAATGGGGTAGCTGCTCGCAAGAGGTGGAATACCTAATTTGGGCTTTTTTCAATTTTCCATTAAAAAACACGTGATCTGATTTGTTTGATAGGCTGTATGAAGAGTTTGCCGATCGTATAACAATTCATTCTTGTGTGTAGCGTATGGGGCAATGTCGCTCGAATAATCATGGAGAAGCATGTGTGATACAGATACTCCTCCTCTATGCAAATGTTCTGGCTTTCAAAAGACGAGTAAGGGACAGGGACAAATTGTAAATTGAACCAAATACTACGGTTTTCGAACTAGTTGGTATGGTTTGGTTTGGTTCGATTTCTCTATTTTCTTGGTTTTATGCACACGCCTAATAATAAGTATTTTTTGTCCATTAAATTATATTTAGATGGATACTGTTAAAGTTTTATTTATTTATTTATTTTTAGTTTTAAAAATAACTTGTGAGGTTGGAGATTTATATAAAATTTATAAATAGTTTGAAATTTGAGCAAACTCTATGTCAACTCTTCTTTTATATTTTTACCCCACATTTATTAGCCATTTATACGAGTAAGCAAAGAGGAAAAGTTTCCTAATACTTATTTAATCACCTCATTTAATGGATGTTAATTCCCTTGTGTTGTATTAAACAAGTGGTAAAATTAATATTTTCAATTATTTTGTTTGGTTGACTTCCATATTTGTGAGGAGGGGATAATTAATCCTTAAAAATGGTAATTGATCTTTTATTTATTAAATTATGTTCGAATTAGCGATCTTTTCTATTAATTAGACTTGTAAATTTTTTTAAGTTAGACTTCTATTGATGTGAAATAAAAAAGTTTGAAAATTACACAGAATTGTTAGCATCACACTCCCAACTTACAAAATTATTATCATCCACATTTTTGTTCCTATTAAAATTAGAAAATATAATATTTAAATACCGCTGAAGATATGCTCGCTTTAGCCAATAACTAATATTGATTAATGAATAACCTCATTCCCTCACATTCATACATCATAATTGTAGGCGTAGAAATTTGAATAAAAATATTTATTGATGTCTTTCAACTATGTTATGAGTCAATGATTAAATATTATTTTTTAAAAAATATATTGTTTCAAAACTTTATATATTTTAGAAATAATTGCATGCGAAGGACATAAATACCATATTGAATATTAAATGCAAATTTGTAGGAACATTCATTTTTTTTAAATGGATGGAAATGTTCATTTAAACATATACATGTATTATTTTTCAAAAAATACTTAAAATAATTTATAGTGCAAACCAAATAAAGGGAAAATAAACTGATAAAACTATTGCAATGTAAATTAAATGGTTGAGGTAAAAATAATGATTGGATTAATTTTTTAAATATAAATTAGTATATGTATACATTAGTTAATTAGTTATTAAGGTATATATATTTGAGTTATTTATTTCATTTATTCAATTAATAAAAATAATTACAGTATTTTTTTTGGGCATGTTATCCATGTATATCCCAAAATACCACCACACAATCGAGCCGGAGAGATTCAAACCTCCAACATTTAGGAAATGTGAGCAATATTTTGACCAATTAAAATTAAACTATGATCATCTCCGGATGCCATTAAACTTTACTAATACCAAACAAAATCAATTCAATAACTACAGATAATTTTTGACTTGTTTACCATTACAAATTAGTTGATAAGGATCATTCAAATCGTCTAATCATAATATTGTAGGTCTTTTTCTCTAATTTTCTTTTTACTCTAACTTATATTCAAGTGGTTAAAGTATTTGACGTGTACTTATTTTTAGAATATTATACTGTAAATGTGAAGGAAAAAATTCAAACTTATAACTTATTCTCACTTATTCTCACCTAGGTGTTATTATTACAGCTATGTTTTAGTAGTTTTTTTCCCCTTAAAAACATTATATTAAACAAAAATAAAAGGAAGAAGTACTATTTTAATTTAAAATGAATGATAGAATTTGATAGAATTTATATGATTCTTCAATCAATTAAGGACTAATGACTTCACGTGATTTAAATTTAAATAATAGAAAAATAATTTTCTCTCACGGTAAGAACCAAATCTGGTAAGAACCAAATCTTGTCCTCACCACTGTTGAAAAATTGACAATTTATTAATTTTTATAAAAAATCTATTTTTTTACATTTTTTAGGGAGACAAATATTTTCCTAAATAATATTCAAATATACATCTACATTTTATTTTGTTAAATTAAAAACTGTCCCGGACATAATTGTAATTTAATTTCTCTAATTTTAAAAGTTTTAATTTAGTTATTATGGTTTAGCTGATGTGAATTTGGATTTAATTTAAATTTAATCCATATAATTTAATAAACAAAGTATTTATTAGTCCATATATGAACCAAATTACTAGTAACCTTAAAATTAACTAAATATATTTTTTATTATTATATTATTATTTTAATTTAAGGATAAACAAAGTAAGCAGTACATATAATATAACCAAACATTTAAACAAGCCACTCATAAAAATAAAAACTACACAAATAACACATAATTCAACTCTCTATCTCTTCAGGTTGCTTATAGAAAAGAGCCCTAATGAACAATATTCATGGAGTTGTAAAACCTGCATCACAAACATTGAAAATATTTCACGTATTTAAATAAGTTGTACGTATCTTATTAAAAAATAAATAAATTATCTTGCTGACATATATCTCCAACAAAAGAAAAAACTTTCAAATTTATATTTAATCAATCTCTAAAATTAAATAAATAGGCATAAGGTTTCATAATTGTTAGGTTATATATTGAATTATATTCCATATATAGACTAGATAAAATATGTTCTTTAAATAATATATATCAAACAAATAATCTGTCGAATTTCACAGTCAGATTGCTAATGTTGTTTTGTTTTGAAAAAAAAAAAGAAGTAATAATTTTTACCACTGAACTTAACAAGATCATAGATTCTTACCATGAACTTTTACTTCCGTTACATTGTATCTTAAATTTGGGTAAATGTGCAATGTGTGTTTTAAGCTTGAAAAATGTTGTAATCTTTACCTCAAAAGTGTTCTTATGTGCTTTCAATAAATTATAAACATGTATATAATACAAAATTGATTTAATTTAAAAGAAAAACAACATGAGAGCTTTTTCTTATATTGAAATTGGTAAGCTTTAGTAGATTCATTTGATTTTGTACCTCCATTGAACTTGATTTTGTGCATTTTTATCGAAATTAGTAAATTTTTTTAGAAGTTTAGGTTTTTTTTAATTAATGGGATTAATTAACAAAAATTGAATAAAAGATACAAAATTGTGACATATTCAATAGGATAAAATTGAAAGTTTAGGATGATCGATATGTATTACCAATTTTATAGGTGAATTTTGATTTTTTTTTTGTTTAAATCATATTTTAATCTTCAAACACTCGATCTATTTTGATAATTAAACTTTTAAATTCACCCCAATTTTGCTCATAAACTTTAAAATGTACGTCGTAGTCTTTAAACCTTTTCCTTATCCCATTTTAGTCTCTTAAATTACAATAAAGTTATTTTATGGTGCTTTTGGTTAGTAACAAGTGATTTAATTAAAACCAGAGTTATATTTATGTTTCCAGTATTTTCAAATATGGTAGCAGATTTAGAAATTAAATCTCAATTTAAAAATTGTTTAAAATGCGTTTAGTTAATATATTTGTAAACCAGTGATAGTTACCAATTAAATATTTAGTTCAATTGAAAATATTATTAATTAAATTATTTTGGTAAAAGTATTAATTAACTTATTAATATATATGTTATAAATTTTGTATCACTATTTTACAATATTATATAATTTATAATATATTATGTTATAATAAAATGAATATATAACATGAAAGGGTATATTTAGAAAAAAAAATTAATGTAATTCTGCATTTGAAAATTTCAAATTTAGAATAGGRAAATCTTGAAAACATATATAAATGGTGTTGGATCAAATAATCCAAAAACATTTTTCGAAAATAAATTTTAATTAATCAAAAAAAAGTTAAACCTCCAACCTTAAAATGAGGATTAAATGCGTCATTTACTATTTAACTACTTTCATGATCGGCTAATATCATTATAACGTTGAGACAAGTGTTGGATGAACAAATATTATAACAAAATAACATAAATACCATTTTTTTTTGAAAATTTAAAAATTAAAATACATACTTCAAAAGGAAATACTTAGCTACAAACTTTGGCTTTTTTTGAAGGTTAAAAATATTAGTGGAATTTATATATCTATGCAATAAAAATAGACTAATAAAAATAATCCACTAAATTTATTAATAGGATCGACCTACCAAGAGTGCATAGACAAACAAGTATTGCCCTTTTGAAAATTCACAAAAATTTATACCTCCGGTAGTTTACAAATGCGAATTATATAGTTTACAAATGCGAATTATACTTATTTATTACTTTGCTTTTATCTCTAATTTAATAACGTTTTCAAAATCCAGCCCAAAATTTAGAAAACAAGAAAAGGAAAATAAAATTTGGCTAAAAATTGAAAAGCAGTTAAAATTTGTAGAAATAAAAAACAAAGAAGGATGAGAGAGAGGGAGAAGTTACTTCCACACTTGAAATGGCGAGGGACCTTCCGGCCGCAACCTTCGATGAGGCGAATGGCTCGATTGGGATCCACATATGACATAAGCTTCGGAGTCACGGCGGGGCAAATACACTCCTCGTGGCTCACTCTCGCCCGCTCGCAGCACGCCGGCGACGGCATCCTCCCGAACACCACCGCCATGCATTCTTTTACTGCCACATCTCTCTCCGCCTTGCACTGCCCCGCCGTCAGTGCGCCGGCGAACCGGCCGGAAGCCGCCATAAGCAGCAGCAGCATCGCGAGGAAGCTCCACCGCCACATCGCCCTCCGCCCCGCCCCCGCGCTCACCATCTGTTTGATAAAAGTCCTGACCCGCCCTCTGCCCCGGCCCCCGCGGGCATATATAGTGCGGGGGGCCGCGATTGCAATGCAACCCTGTGTAGTGCGGCGTGGGATTGACTTGGAATGTGCACCTCCAACTCCAAGTCGAGTCAAGAGAAAAAAAAAAATAAGAAAAAGTTGAATTGCCTTCTAGCCTTTAGTCCTTTATTTTAGCTTTTAAGTTTGTTTCTTCTTCTTTGGTTGTTCATATTCTGTGATCTAAAACACTTGAAATTCTGAAAACGGTTTTTTAATATTTTCATATTCAAATTTTAAAATTTCTAAGATGCGTAATTACATTAAAAGTAATAAAAACTTTGATAAATATATTACCTCATATTACAAACTTATTTTATGTTTTCAGATTCAGAATTTGAAATTTCTAAGATGTGTAGTTACATTAAAAATGATAAAAACTTTGATAAATATATTACTTCATATTAAAAACTTATTTTGTATTTGTTAAAATTAAAACATATAGAATACTATAAAATAACAATTATACAAAATTCATAAAAATATGTTAATAAATTAATTCATATAACTTTAGATTAAACTAAATATTTAGTTTGTAACTATTCCTAGTTTACCAATATATTACTAAACATACATTGAACAATTTTTTAAATTGTGATTCAATTACCAAATCTGCTGTCAAACACATATCTGAAAATATTTAAAACAAAAAATATGACTCTGGTTTTCATTGAATCTCTTTTATTATCAACCAAACTAAAAATCTAATAAAGGTTTATAATATATATTGATCAAACTATTTTTTTTAGCCGATTTTGAAATGGAATTTCATGAATATTGATACCCATCAGAGTTCAAAAAGTTCAAACAAACATCGGATTAACATTGGAGATTCGATTAAGATTGGTGAGCCGGACATTGTCTTAACCATTGAGTATGTCTTGTGATTATATTATTTGGAGATTACGTGGCAAACAGTTTAAATAGTAAAGTTAATATACCATTAAACTTAGACATGAAATTGAAGATTCAAGAATGTGCTAAAAAAAGTAAGTTCTCTTATGTATAAAATAAATAGGCACAACTTTTAAAGTGATTTAGTGATAAGCTTTTAAAAATTCAAGAACAAAGTAGGCGCAATAAAAGTTTATAGATGAAAGTATAGTTAACCTTAGTTTAAATTTCAATTTGGCGTTTCTATTGGTAAGAAAAAAAGTCGTTAGTATTTTCAAAATGATAGATGCCTCTACTCTACTATGAGTGAAAAGTATCAAAAATCCAACGTGACAAGTTATTTGTACCTATTAAAAAATGTGAGCTTCATGACGTGACATTTTATTTTTGATGATGCAAAAGTAGGATATTGGCAAATGTTGTTTTCTTTTTATTTTTTTAGGTATGAAAATTTCTTACTAACTTTTCTTTTTCCATGATTTTGGTTTGAACTTAGGGACGGAATGGGTTAGGAATTGAATACCCCATAACATAGTCATCTTTTGTTGACTCGATGGGATAGAAAAACTATCAAATACTTTTCAATCCATTCACATGATATGATTGTGCAAGAAAATTTTTAATATCAAGAGTATGAATACTCTTTCATTCATTACTTGTACTATAAATATCATATTAAAAATAATATGAGATGTACCAACGTTAAAAAATAATTTATAAAATATTAAATATTTGACAGCCCCTCAATTTTGTGGGGACATAAAAGGGCCAAAATTTCCAATTTTATGGTCCTAATTTGGCATTCTCTCTCGCCTAACATGACATTGACAGTGAAATTTTGAATTGGCATTATTTCTTTTTGGTATGGGGAAGTGGTAAAAGAAATATTTTATTTATGGAATAAGTTAAATTAGATGTCAAACGATATTTAAAATAATTGCATGTTAGGCGCATGGGTCAATGGAATTGTCATATTGAACGCACCAAAATATTAAATATGTTAATTTAGATGTAGATTTTAGAGCTATTTCATTTTTAACTTTTTGTTTTTAAAAAATTGTCTGAAAACATTATATCTTTTTATACATTAATTTTTTTTCGATTATGTACTTTTGAAAAGTCTAAGCTAAAATTAAAAAATTAAAAAATTAAAAAACTTAAAAAGCTTTTTTTAGTTTAGCTAAAAATTAAAATATATTTTTAAGGAGGGAATAAATACTAAATAAATCATAAAAAGTAAACATAATTTTTTAAAACAAGAAATAATAATTTTTTTTTTCGTTTTTGAGTATAACAGTTTGGAGATATGGAATATCAAATTCTCGATTTCGAAGGAATGAGTATATATCAATTATTATTGAACTATACTATAATAATTGATATAGTTATCCAATACAACCTTTAATTATCTCTTTTTTTGTCTCATTCTCTAATTCTATATCCTAATTTATATATATATATATATATATATATATATATATATTTTAAATCAATTCCTATAGTTCATGTATTGAAGTTTTTTAATCTTGTATTTTTACAGATATGTTACAAGCATTTAAAATTATTTACGAAGTGATAATGTGAAATTATAAAATATATATCTTCAATAAAGAGGTTGTGAGTTCGATCTCACCCCACTAAAAAACAGTTTAAAAATAATAAAAAAAAAACCCACTGAATTATTTATTTACACTTTTTCTATAATATTTTGTCCAGTGTTCTAGCGTTGTTGCAACTAAAAAAACTATTCAACCAAGATTGTTCCCTTTGTGAGCAAATCTATTCCATTCTTACCAACCATTGTTTGCCTTTCTCGACAACTTTGTCAACAAAATAAGCTCCTCTGTTTTTATATTATAAATTTTATAAGTCAAGAATAATAAATAATACTCTTATTTATGTTATGGAAATAAAAAGATTTTTTTTAAATAATTATTTTTTAAAAGCAAATGAAAAATCTAAGGTAAGTTTCAAACTAATTACAAAATTAGGATAGATAAATCGCAGGGATAGGCTGCGATTTTATGTCGAAATCGCGGTCATTGACCGCGATTTCACTATAGTGGCAGTCAATGGCTGCGACTTCTGCCTGACGTGGCGCAAATGGAGTCACGTCTTTGCTGACGGGCCATTTATTTTTTTTTAATTATTTTTTTATTTTGAATTTGGAAGTTGCAGCCACGACGTTGCCTTTGTTTTTTTTGGTTAAATTTGGGAGGGGCAGCCCTTCCCCGCTTCCTCTTTTATTTTTTTTTATTTTTTATTTTTTATTTTTATTTTATCTTTTGAATTTAAAAATTATAGCCCTGCAACTTCCCACTAATATCCCTTCGTTTTTCTTAATTTTATTTTAAAAGACCATAATTTAAGGAAAAATACTATCATCTTAATTTTCTCCATATTTGGAAAGTAGTTCTTAATTACCTACTACATGATGGACATATTCCTATAATGTAATAATTTAAAACAAAATAATTGTAAAACAAACAAAACCCTAATTATACATATCCCAAATTTTGGTTTTTGTTTTAAAGCCATGTATTTCGCGATGCAAATGACAAAACATGTGAGTTTCATGTAATTTATACCTTTACATGAAACTCACATGTTTGATTAGTTGTAAAATGCTTTGATTTCTAAAGAAAATTGGAAACAGAGAAACAAGAAACAAGAACGTTACCAAACAAACCCGATAGATTGATCTTTCATCATTTAATCAATTTACATATATAAAAAACTACATTAAATCTTAATAATATTTTTCAGGTTAGGGATTAAATAATATGTAAATTTTATATTTGCTGGGACCAAATTGTATCGAACAAAAGCTCAAGGAATTGTTATTTAAATAATTGCAAACAAATAAAAACTTTTAACATTAGAAAAAGCATCAACGGATCTGTGGCGCAATGGTAGCGCGTCTGACTCCAGATCAGAAGGTTGCGTGTTCGATTCACGTCAGGTTCATTTTCTTTTTCTCTTTTTTTTCTCTTGTACGTAATGTGTGGCGAAATGACGTTGATACCCTTTGAAAGTTTCAATATTCACGAGAAGACCGCAGTTCGCCGAAGATTCCTTCCGTTTCGGCCTCCAATTCTTGTGGCAAATTTTATTTTATTTTTTTAATTAGAAACTTTATTGTTTTACCTGTATATAATTTCATTTCATCCCATCATTGTTTTATAAAATAAAATTTAAACCTTTTTTTTTAGAATTTAACGTTATATATGATAGGGTGGAGGAGGTAAATTTGAACTAGATAATTTTTCGTAAAGTAAAAATAATATTTAACTACTCATGATATATGAAAATTTATAATTATCTAGTTTACCGTCGCTTTTTATTTTTAACCAAATTCAAATAAATAATCTGTATTATTGTTTATCAATCCAACTATGTTAGGTTGAAGATTTTTCATTTTTTTTTAAGTATATAGAGTAAATTTTGAAATTCAACTACCAATCTTACTTTAATATATGAAAATATATAATCAAATGTTGGTAGCCACTGAAATTAGTCACTATTTTTATTTTTTATTCAATCGCCTGATCTCACTCAACCTAAATATTTAATTATTGAAGTAGATCAATTAATTTATTAAATCGAAAATTAGCAATCTCGAGTTTAGGTTCACCAGAGAAAACATAGACAATGAGTGAAGATTTCAACCACTTTGAATCAGATAGTTTTTTTTTTCATCAACAAAAAATGGAGTATTTGATACAATGGAAATATTTTGGGCAGTAAATATTTCTTTTTGTCTGTACAATGTGATTTTTGACACCATATGTTTTCAAACACACTCTGCTTCTGTAATCAAATCTCTAAAACCAAACCATTCTCAAACAGCAGTTACGTAGTCACCACTAACATCAACTTCAGAATCTATGTCAGCGTCCAGATCGTCGAGCCCCGACCCTCCGGCCATCGCTTGGTCCCCGGCTTTAGCTCCTTCTCCCGGCGTCCTTGCTTCCTGGACGATCTGCATGATTTCGTCGACACTCTGCGACGGTTGGTTGTGTTCCTGGTGTTTGAAGTTGGTTTTCTCAATCTCAATTAGCTCCTTTGGCAAGTTCTTGAAAAACCATGGCAGCTGTTTTATCTCTTGGATGGTGATCCTCTGCAATGATGAAAAGAACAAGATTGAGGAGCATATAAGAAGATCGAACCGCATTCGAATGTATTCGAACAAAGCACAAATTGGATTAATATCATCCTCATTCGAGTTCAGTCAATCCTATATATTGATATAATATCAGAGTTTTTCGCTTTACTATTCTTTAAAACTATTGGCATCCTCTTGTGTAGGCCCCAAAAATTCTGGAAAGAAATGTTACCTTAGCGGGGTTGGCGACGAATATGCGAGAAAGGAGGCTGCGACACTCCACGGACACACGAACGTAATCGGGTATGGAGTATTGAACACTCAATATTCTCTGGTTTTAAGATTAGGGAGACAATGAGATTTTGTTTTCCTTTCCCAAATGAGCAATCCATGAAGTTTATTTTGCAGAAACTATACTGTATTATTGTTTTAGAGACACTCACCGCTATTGTCTTTCGAAAATTTCTCGGATCTTCGGGATCCTCGAATGGATATGCCCCAATCAACATCACATATAATGTCACTCCACATGACCAAACATCTGCAATCTACAGGCAGTAACCAAATCATTAACAATACCTCTATAAAGACATGCTAGAATGAAATATTTTCTAGACCAAATGGATATTAACATAGAATCTAAGAACTTAAATACCTTGCCATCATACTCCTTCCGCGACAGAACCTCCGGTGCAATGTATGCCGGTGTCCCGACCGTAGATTTGGGTTGCGAGTGTAATAGACCAGACTGTAATGAATCAAACAAGCATAAGAATCTGAAGATAATGATCTAAAAACGTAATATTGGCAGAGTGAAACAGATTCTAGCTTATGTTTTTATAAGATGGTAGATTATCAACCTTTGAGTAACCAAAGTCGCATATCTTGAGCTGCGGAGTAGGACTTCCATCCAAGAGTGTGTTTTCCAGCTTCAGATCTCTGTGACAAATTTGCTGTGAAGAACAGAGAACGATTAACGCCGAGGCAATAGGGGAGAAAACGTATAAGAAGACGAAGAATATTATGAAATACCATGGAATGGCAGTAGCTGACTCCAGATATTAGCTGCTGGAAGAAAAACCTAGCCTGATGCAGAGATGTACGGAGAAAACGAACAGAAGGCGACTTGAGAAACGGATTATGGAGGAAAATTAAAAAGGAAAGATCAGAAAATATAGAAAATGAAGAAATGGTAGCACTTCAACCTCGTCTTCACTAAACCGACCAGCACTGCATATCCTTCCAAAAAGCTCTCCTCCAGCTGCATATTCCATGACAATGGCTAAATGAGTTGGGGTTAAGAAGACCTGCAGGAAAACTTCACTCATTGAGGTGATTTATTCATGTGGGATCTCTTAACAAAGTCCAAGCTAAGAACATTGCAAACTGACTAATGATTTCTATTCTCATTGATTTTGCTCAGGAAGAATTTGATTGGCTTGTTCCCATATTACATGAATTCTAAGAGCATAAGTGGATCGACATAGAAACTTCCCTACGAGCATTTATCGTGAAGATTCTGTTTGATAACCGTTATGTTTATTGAAAATTAAGCTTGTTTCCTAATTACTTCATGAAGTTCCATTTGAAATTTTACCCAAGTTTAAAAAACCAGAAATAAGTATATTACAAAACAAAGAAAATCATCAGTAAACAAGCATGACTTCTAAAAAGAAAATCATTATCACACGAAATTAAGAGTTACCCTCCTAAAACCAAGAATTTTGATTTTATCCTTCAACTTATAAAATCATATTCAATCTCTTATAACCCCTTTTGGAAAAACTAAGCTTGTATTGTGCATTTTTAGGAATTTCAAATGAGGTTTTTTATTCAATACAAAATTGAGATATGATATCATAAAGAATGCAACAGAGGGGCAAGAGAGCAGCCTAAGGGCCGAGGGTTGACTTCATTATTTTTTGATAATGAAGTCAAATTTGATGTCATGAAACTACTCTCAAGGAGATGGTCAAACACATAATTTTTTTATTTAATTATAAAGGGAAATATTATCCTTACCTCCTTGAATCTGATAATGTTCGGGTGCCGCAACGATTGGTGATTAATGATTTCTCTCTGAACTTTCTCATCAATCTGAAGAAAAGAGTTCATATATTCCACCTCCTTAAATGTTCAACCATTAAAAAGAGAAATGAAAAATACACTTAAAAGGAATTTAGGATGATTTCTGCTTTCATATCAAACCATTGACAAATAATGAAGAAACCACCATTAAATCTAAATGTAAAAGCCATTCAAACAAATTCATTAATTATCTTAATGAATAAGAGGTTGGTAGTTCAAATCCCCATCCCCCGTATATCGTTGAACTAAGAAACAAAATTGAAAAAATCTAGTTCATTTTGCTTAAAGATTGAAGCATATGAACATTATTAGGCCTTCTTCTATGACACATTGAACAAGTTAGCTTATGAACAAACAGAGACAGAAAGAGTTCTTATTTTGTATTGAAAGGAATTCAATGGATGATCAAAACAAACTTTCACTTAGAATGCAATTCAAGAAACCAAGGCCCTCGATAATAACTATTTTGTTCTTTTGTTTTCTATTTTTGAAAATCAAGCTCATAAACACTGCATCCATTCATGTGTTTTAGGCAAAATTTCAAAAACTACAACGAAATTGTGAGGAAAACGAATGGCAAATGGACCTAATGAACATATTTTCACAGAGATTTCACATTAAGAATGCATCAAACCCACCATCCAATCCATCAAAAAAGCGTCAAAGCTTTCTCCACAAGTCAACAGAGGGAACAAAACATCAGAAACAATTACAGGGGAGATTCCATTAGCTAACAAACTAACCAGACGCATATATCCTCATCCCACAGCTATTGAAGTAATTTACAAGGTTTAAAACAACTGATGCATTTACTTACCTTCTTCCCTCTCTCAATGTACTTGACTGCAACGAGTTCGTTGGTCTTCCTGTCTCTGACGAGCCTGGCAACTCCAAAATTCCCAGAGCCAAGGTCCTTCAATGGCTCGTACCGATCCTCCATTCGAACCCCAATCAAAAACCCCCAAAACAAGAAAACGAAGATGAAAAATGAAATCGAAACAGAGGAGAAGTTGGGGAAAAATCAAGTGAAATTGGGGATTTATTGAAGGAGATGGGAAATGGGTTTGTTAAACGTGAAGCAGGGTTTTAATGGCGGAAAGTGGAGCAGTAAAAGAAGGGAAATTCTCGTCAGGTTCCGGCCGCCGCAAAGGAACCCACCATTTTTGTGAACTTGCTCCAATTGGTGACTAATTTTCAAAGGACAAATTCTCCGGCCCCAAAATTTCGTTCTACACCCACAAAACGGAATGTTTACATTCAATTTTCAAATACAATAAAAAAATAAAAATACTGTATGATAATATATATAAATATATATATATACACACATTTTAGTTGATGAATATGATTTAGAACGTAAAAAATAAAATCCCATTTTAGTTTATGAACATTTAGTGAGTTCTTTTTTTTTTAATTTTTTTTTTCTTTTTAGTCAAGTTTTGAAAAAATGAAACAAACTGAAAAGTGTTGTGTAAAATAGTATTTCATGTTATATAATTAAAATTTAGTAAAAATATGTGTTTTTTCTGGATGGGGTGAGAATTCGAACATTTCACGTTTTGTTCAAAAATATAATGTTTTTGTCAATCTATACTCAACTTATTTTTTTTTCATAATTTAATTTCCCATCTATTTTATAATGATTGAATAATATTTTTTAATCTCTATAATTATACGGTTACTAATAAATATTTCAATAGTTGAAATACCAGTCACTTCTTTTTTTAGGTCAAATATTTGAATGTGAGCATTCTTCATAAAAGTACATTTACCATTCATTTCAAAGAAATTGTTATTAAAAATAATTTAACAATTCAGAATATGAATGAAAACTCTCTATATCGACTATGGACTTAGATTCAATAATACGGTATTTAATAAGACAAATTTTATTATGAAAAACTAAATAAAATTAAGTACCACTAATTGAGAAATTTTGGTATAGATATAAATATATGTTTTGTAAAATTGAAATGATTGATTGGTTTTAAAATGATAACTCAATAATTGAATGATATTTATATAAAAATTTGAATTTCGGACGACAAAGATGGATAAATCAAAATCAAATGTATGGATATGAATTTTATTTAAAGGAAAAAAAAGAGAGACAAATTAAAGAATGGACAAATACATTATAATAAATATAATAAAATTAGAATTAAAAGGCACGTAAGCTAAAACGGTCACTTCCTGCAAAATGACAGTACGTGACCGTCCACTAATAATTAGCCACGTGGTGCGCAGTTCTGTATGCGTGGGAGTACGGTGAAAGCCAGTGCACGATAGCGAACACGTCACTTAATTGGTCTAAAATGCGCCGTCCTTGTGGGACCCAGTTCTGTAGCTGTCGGCTACGAGAATATTTATCCAATCCAACTGTAGTCTGTAGCTCTCTATCTGACAACTTTTTTTTATTATTATTTTTTTCTGTCTGCCAATTTTTCGTCGCTTTCATTGAGCGTGAAAGTCACGCCCTTTTTTATATTTTTTTATATATATTTTTTTAATTTTAAATCATCAACTTTTTAAAACATTTTTAGTTTGTTTTTTAAATTTTTGAAAGGTCTATTTTTTAGTTCATAAATTTGTAGATTCATTCAATTTTTTTCCATGACTATCCACCTATCTATTTTAGCATCTTTAACTCTAAATAGTAAATAATTTGGAACTATATTTTTATAATATTTTTTCTTTGATATTAAATACACACATATATAATTCTTTTTAGTTAATAAATTAAAATAGAAATTTTGAAAGTTAAATAACAACAGGTAAATAAATTTGAAATTTAAAATACCAATTTGATATATATATATATATTAAAAAATTAATTTCGTTTTCATTGTCTTAAAAAAATATAAACTACATGTTTATCTCTAAACTTTACTACTAATTCAATTCTAGTTTTCAACCTCTTACTTCCTATCTAATTACTCTTTTTAATCTTTGTATCTTTAAATTTTATGTGATAGTCTCTAAACTTTCTGTAAAATATTATTGTAGTAATTATCGTACTTGTAGAAAATTAAAAAAAAAAACCTTCATTCATTTAGATACTTCCTGACACTTGACATATTCTTTGGGTCCTTGTACTTTCAACGTTCGTTCATTTCTATCAATCAAAACATCTATTTTAACCTATATACTTTCATTTTTTTGTTCATATTGGTTCAAGTACTTTAAAAATTGACTGTTTGGTCCATTAATTTCAATTTTTTTATCTATTTTGTTTTGATCAAATTTTTAACATGACATTTCACTCACTAAATTTTTTGAACTGTTGCCACACATTTATATTAAATAATTTCCACTATGTGAACAATTTGTTGTTGAAAGTTTGCGAATATAGACAAAAATTATCATTTTTTAAAAGTATATAGACCAAAAACGAACGTTTAGAAAATAGCTAGATAAAAATAAACAAAAAAAATTATAAATACAGAGACGAAAATACGGACCAAAATATTTTCTGATCGCGTACATAACGGTAATTTTTCAAAAATTATTTTCAAAGATTAAATAGACATTCAAATTAAAATTTAATAAACTAAATTTGTAAATGTTTGGTTTGAATATCACGCGCCAGATTGCAGGTGGGGGACAGTAATTGACAAAAAATGGTTCAATGAACGCATCAAATGACTGGTCGTTGGGTTCCCATTGCAACAGGTTGGAAGTAGCTTTCGCTAATCATTAGACGCCACGTGTTTTAATCCACGCGCCTCCAAGTCTAAGTCTTGTGGGACCCACTGTACCTTCAAAGTTAAAAGCAATCGAAATAAAAACATTTAAAAATATTTTTAATCTTGTCACGATTTAGTTAATTTGTAATGTTTTAATTCAAGTACTTATGATGAAAAAATAAAAATAAAAACGTATAGTTCTTTCAAATTTTTACCAGCACAATACGAACATAGTTTAACGATAATTGAAATATAAAGTATGTATAATTATAAAAAATATATATATTTATGTGGTCAATAAAATTGATTTATAAACTTTTAAAGTAGTTCTATGTAGGAGTGTTTCGTAACGATCCACTAATTAAACACCTCAATTTAGATAGAACTATCGTTAATGAAAGTTAATTATGGTCAATTTATTGAAGTTCACATTGAGTGAATATATTTGACTAATTTATTTTCCATATGGATTCTTAAGTAGATGTATTCTATTATTGTCAGCTTAGATACCTCAACTTAGACAAAACCATGTTTGGAAAGTATAGTATAATCAATTTATTCAAATTCAAAATATTCTAGCTAAGTCATACTGATGAATACTAATGAATTATATAAGTTATAGTTTATAAAATGTATTATCACATCAATTCTGAATTATTTTACTGGGTTGGGTTTTATGTCAAACGTAAAACAAATATTTAGCCAATAAATTTAAATTTGAAACTAAAAGTGGGTAAAAAGTAGAAAAGTACGAGTGAATTTTAAATGTATTTGGAAACGATGATTCTTAAATTCCTATTACGAAAGAGACTAAAAGATAGTCAATTACTTCTAATAGAACAATAAAAATTAAATTCCAAATCTTATATTCCTAATGATTTTGTTACCAAATATTTAGAATCCCAACTAAATATTTTTGAATCTTTTAATTATTTTTTTAGAATGGGATTACGATTATCAAGGTTGCATTTAGAGGGGAATAAAATTTTCTCTTATTCAAAAACCAAAATAAATTAGAAATTGGAAGAGATTATACAATTAACCACGAAAGCGCAGAAAAAGAAAAGAAGAAGAAGAAAAAAATAGTCCAAGCGATATTTTAGTCGACATGGAAAAAATGATTTTCCCCCTCGATGTCGAGACCCTAGACATGTCGAGCGACATTGAACACCGTTCTTTTAACCAGAGCAGCATGAACATAGCTCAACGATAATTTTATATCTATTTATACTTTTGAAGTAGAAGGTTCAAACATGTTCTTAGAATTTAGATAACTTAAAGGTGTATTTGGAGGTGACAAGAACGTTAAATTTGATAAATTATTTAATTAAACAGTTATTCAATAAAACCCAGCAAGAAACCATCAATAAATCACATTAAAAAAAATCGAGAAATCGTGATGGAATCAATTTGGGCCTTCGATTTGGGCTTTGATGGACTAACCTATCCACTGAACCATATTCTAATAGGCCCATAATCCAAACTAATAATTACCATTAAATCAAATAATAAAAAGAAAATAAATTGTCGTAAATGACGCATACACACTACACAGCGAGAATTTACGGATTTATCGTAATTTGGAAAAAATACAAAATTTAGTATTTTTTTCAGCCACTAAATTTTACGTTTTTTTTTTTAAATTTTGCTGTTAAAATCAACTAAACTATGATTTATTTTAAATTAAAATAATATCTGTTGTGTTCTGTTGTCATGGATATAAATCAAAAATGGGAAAAAAAAAATTTAAGATAAGAATGCTGTATACTTGGGTGTAGATAATTTTTTTAAATATTTTGATTCTTTTAATGTTTTTGTAAATATTTTCGAAATCTATATTATTTAGGTTTAAATCCCTTAAAAAATAATATTGAAAATTTCAATTGGTGACAAAAACAAATATTTGAATTGAAAAATAATGTCCAATTTCTTTAATTATTGTAATTATTTATCTTTTAAATAAATGTTACCTATTAAAATTTATCTTATATTCTAAAATAACATAACTACTGATTCTAAAAAATTAAAATAATTACTATTTAAAAATATATTATTAAGAAAAATATAATGAGGTGTTTTTACTAAATACTATAATTACAATAAAGTATTATTAAAAAAATCACTAAAGTTTTGAATATTCACTCTTTTGTATTCTTTGTTTGATTCAATATGAAGATTCAACCATTGACTGGGGAAGCATTAAATTATTTAAAATCTTATTAATATTTATGGGTCTCATCTCAAAATCATAGTCCATGACTATTATAAACCATTGTTACGTCCATTTTCTTTTAAATGTGAGATCCTTAACACGCCCATCAAGATCGTGGCTCTTTTGCTGGTTCTGGACTCTGATACCATATTAATATTCATGGGTTCCATCTCAAAACCAATTGGCCATGAGAAGAGTAACCAATGTCTATTATAGGTCCCTTTTCTTATCAATGTGGGATATTTAATAAATCTAGTGCAAATTAAATAAAATAATTACCATATTTATTTTCTTTATTTTATTATTTTTGTTTTGAGGAAAAAAATAATTAACATATTTCATAAACAA